AAAAAGGAAAGACATGGAAAGAAGTTCTTCCCACCCCAAGCAAATGCACATCAAGATGCAGAGCCAGCTACAACATACAGTTTCATTTTAATTGTTATTTTTAATTGACACATACCAGTTGCACATGTATGTGGGGTGCATGTGACCATCTGATACATGTGTGCAGTAATCACATCAAGGGAATTGGCATTTCCTTTTGGGGGGGGGGGTAATATTCAAACTCCTCTCTTCTAGTTTTTTTGAGATATATAATAAATTGTAAGACAATATGAAGTTTCCTTAAAATATTAGATTTCTCAGATTCTTTAGAAATCCATGGTCACAGGCAGCAAAACATCATCAACTGCAAGGAAAGACAGGAACCTCCAAGAAAGGTAGGACATGAGCACTTGCTAACCCCAGGCCTATTGCACCAGATGCTGCTAAAATGGCCTCACATACTGCCAATAAATAATTTGTCCCGGCAATTATAAACTAATATGGAATTCCTGGAGCCACAAATATAAAAGGGAAATTCATGACAACTTCTAATTTCTTGTCCACATAATCCCCAAACAATCACAAAAATATGATTGGTGCACCAAGGTGGGTTTGCTGAGAAGGCATCTTTGATGACACGCTTGGTGGGGAAAGGTGGTCACTGTGAAAGACATGCATGATAGGTTGGGTTACGTGTCCCTGAAGGTACATGTGATACAAGCTTGGCACACCAAGGGCACACCTGGGAGGCAGTGCAGTGCCCTTATGTCCTTGGGGGTAATGCCTTTGAAGGTGATGTAGGCCCCAGTCCCTTCCCCTTTTCCTCAATTTTGCTTCCTGACCAGGAGGTGAGTGGTTTTGCTCCACTCCAAGCTTCCCCTACTATTACTGCTAATTCACCAATTTCACCCTTTGCTTCTCTCAGGTTTCCCTTCAAGTATTTTGTAGCTAGGTGTTAGGTGCATATGCATTTATAATTGCTCTATCATCTTGATTATCTATTGACTCACTTATCATTATACATGCACTCTTTGTCTCTAAGAGCATTTTATCTTAAATGTGCCCTTGCTTACTATTAGTGTGGCCCTGTAGCTCTCTTTTGCTTACACTATATATGACACAGACTTTTTGATTCTTTTAACTTTAAGCTCTTTGTTTTTTTAATCCAAAGTGTTTTATTATTTTTTGTAGACAATATACAGTTGAATGTTACTTAAAGTTCATTTTGCCAATCTCTAATTGAGTGATTAATCCATTTTCATTTATAAAGTGGCATTTATGTCTGACACTTTACAATTTATTCTTTAAAGGTGATCAGTTTATCTCCTCATTTTTTTGTTTGTTTGTTTTGTTTTGTTTTAAGTAGATATGCAACTTGATGCTCTAATTCCCTTATCATTGTTTGGTATATATTTTAGTTATTATATAAATTTTTGCCTTGGTGATTATGATTAATGTCATAATCTATGGATACTTAGATTGTATTAATACCAATTTAATTTTAATACTAGACTGAAATTGTATTCTAACTCCATTTATGGGTGCTGTAAGAGAAAATTGGAGATTTCTGAAATAGGAGATTTCCTTGCTGATCTTGAGGGGCAAAGCTGCCATTTTTGGAAAGAACCCTAGCAGGTGATTCTACAAAGCCTCTAGTTGCTAGAGTTGGTCAGGTGGCTCTTGCCTGTGTGAGTTTGGAACAGAACTCTTGCCCTTGGTGAGATCACACCCCTAGTCAACACTTGGTAACACTTTGGTTTAGTCTTGTGAAATCTTGAGCATAGAAACCAGTGCCCAGTGGAGACTCTGACCTACAAAAGTGTGAGATAATAAGTGCTGTTTCAAACTGTTTTGTTTATGGTGTTTCATTTAACAGCAAAATGACTACAGTAGTATTTTAAGTGGACCTACTTTGGACAAATTTACATGTCATCTCAAGGCTCCTGTGCAGCCCCTAGCATTGTGTGATTGCCTAAATGGTTAGTGTGCTTACTTGACCTCCTATGAGTTTCCCTCAAGTCTTCTCTCCCCAGAGCTATATCCTAAAACCTCTCTCTGCTGGTTCTTTTGCCACAACAGGCCACATTCTGGCTCTTCTCTGGCTGGGACTGTTTCAGACCAGTGACTTAATGGGGTTCACATGGCCACAGGGATCACACCACTTGCTGTGCTGCCCAGATCCGAACTGCAGCCACACCTTCCTCCCCTCAGGCCACTCCAGACAGGGCTTTCTGCCTGCAGGTGTTTGTATGTGGGAGCCCACAGGAGCCCCACAGGGTTCTACATTAGGCTCTCCCAGGCGTCTTCCTGAAGCCCATCGGACAGGGTTGGTGTGAGATGCTGACCTCAGCCTCCTCCTCGAGAGGCATAGCCTAGGTGCATCTCAGCATGCCAGGTGAATCTCCATTTCCAAGGAGATTTTGTTTCCTGGGTGTTCTTTCCTCTAGATTTAAGTAAGTGCCAGGCTGAGTGATCCAGAATCTGGGATGGGATCAGCCTTTTTGCTAATCCTGCATTTGTGGTCCAGTGCCTCACCTGGGCCAGGGGGGATTCACGACATTTACGTTTTATTCTGTATCATTTGAGACTTCGGCCAAAACTGATCAACCTTGCTCTGAAGACATTGTCATTCCACTTCAGGTGAGGGAATTTTGAAGTAGAACCAAGAAACAAGAAGGAATAGTGTGTCAATAGTGTAATAAGGTCACAAGTGTGATTTTAAAGATCAATAGGGTCAAAGTTATGCTCATTAGGAGAGTGGCGGAGACTGCGGAGGGTTCAAGTGCTTCAGGCAAAAGCAGATGACAGAGATCTTTTCTCCCTGGCCATCTCCTGCTGACCTGTCCACCCCTGAGAAGACTTTCCCTATCACAGACTCCTGAGGTCTCCAAGTCCCAACAAAGCAACAAAGCTGATCTGAGCCAACAACCACCTTCCTCTTGGCACAAAAAAGAGCTGAATTTTCAAGTAGCAACTAACTATTGTGAGCCAAGACTGTTCTCTGGGAAGAACTGGGCGCTCAGGGAAGGAGGGAGCAGCCTAGGAAAGAGCTAAGAGGAGCCTCGAGCTGAAAAAGGGATGGAGTCAGAGAGAGAGGGGGGAGGCTGTAGGCCTCCCAGCGCCAGGTGTGCACAGGATAACTGGAAAGTAATGTCAGGAGACAGCCACCAGCCCCCACTCTGGATAACTCTGACACACACAGGGCTTTCTGTATTGAAAAGAAAAGCTTCTGAAAGGTTGCAGGCTATTTTTAATTATCTTTGTTTGTTTGTTTGTTTTAAATCAAGCAAAGCAGTATTTGGAATGAGTAGGAAGTACCCCAGTCTCACGGTGCTCTGTAGGCCATCAGCTGTCCCTCCTGTGGAGACCCAAGGGGGGCATGCGCAGGGGGTACAGGGATGGCTCAGAGAGCATTGTGAGCCTGGTGGCTCCCGAGCTGCAGAGTCTTAAGGCACTTCCACATGTCCCGTCCTGCAGGTGACTCCTGTGCAGATGGCTCAGGACAGCTGCACTTCGGATGTGTTCTAAAGACCAGTTCCACCAGGTAAGAGACCTGACCATGAACTGGCAATGCCCAGGCGTGAGAAGAGTCCCTCCCAGTTAGTTCCATAGGAGGGACGCACACAGCTGAAGACGAGGCCTGGACAGCGGAGCGTGCAGAGGCAACCCGGGGACAGCCACAACTGGAGTCCCCACTGCCTGTGGCTGGAGGAACCCAGGAGGAGATGGGAGCCCAGGAGCAAGTCCTGGCTGGGGGTTGGGGGGCAGAAGCAGTTTCCCTGGGAGATGGAGGAGCCCGAGGGCAGGAGAGAGTGGGGGCGACGTGCCCTGAGTTCTGCCTCTCCCCACGACCACCTCCCCACTGACGCCCACGTCCACTGAAACCCCAGAGCTGGAGGCCTGGTGAGGGCAATTCACAGAAGACAGAGCCGAAGCCACGGAGCAAAGCAGGGACGACAAGGAATGACCTGAGCAGAAAAAGACAAAAGGCCAAAAAACACTCCAGGAAACTGGTTCAGACTCGCATGTTAAAACTGAGCAATCTCTCCAGTGCCATGGTTGATGATTGTGACCTTTATTTAGTGAAGCTATGAATTGTATCACACAGACTTTACACACTCATTTCCTTACATGCTGTGCTAAATGTTTCAAATCAATCTCTGACCACTTTCTTTCATAGGTAAGAATGAAAATTTGTGCCACTGGCATTAACTGAATAGATGGGAGTTGTTATAAAAATGCACTTTAATACTAGAATCAATGAAGACCACATATTATAATACCAAAAAATGCACTGGATAAAAGTAACTTATTTTATTATGTAGACTCATTACTCACTCACAGATGTGCATCTACTTCCATTTACCTATTAATTCTATGGAAACTAGTCCATGTAGCTGGACATGCAGGACTTGACTGTTGTGCCCACATCATTTATTGACTCCCTGCTATATCTCTGAGCGAATGACAACTCCCCTAGGTCTCAATTTCTTTAAATACAAATTAGCATAATGAAAAATATCCTTCAACATAATCTTGACTCCAGTGAGAAAGTACAGAAAAATAATTCATGATACATACCAGTGCCTGGTTCAGTAGGTAGCTATTCCTTATTCATTCATGTCTTGATTTTTCTGTGGGGTGGGGGATTAAATGCAGGGCCACCCAATCACTGAGCCACATCCCCAGCCCTAATTTGTATTTTATTTAGAGAGGGTTCTCACTGAGTTGCTTAGTGGTTTGCCATTGCTGAGGCTGGCTTTGGACGCGTGATCCTCCTGCCTCAGCCTCCTGAGCTGCTGGGATTACAGGCGTGCACCATTATGCCTGGCTCATGTCTAGATTTTTTTTATAAAATATCTTCTGAAAACTAAACCTAGACAAGGAAACCAAAACAAGGAGAGAAAGAAATGAGCATGATCTTGAAACACTCACAATATGACTTGACTAGGCCTCATAGTTCTCTTGACCTTCCTTGAACATCCATCCTGTTCTGTTTCCAAGGCCCAGAGCCTGGTCTGCTATCTCAGGATCTTGGGTCGGCAACAGAAAAAGTTCAATCTGCAGTTTCCATAAATCTTCTCACCCTCCAGGCAAATCTTCCTGCATTTGCCACGACCAAGCCTGCAGGTCTCACAAACGGCAAATTCACCTGTGCCAAGAAAGAGTGGCTGAGAAGGCTTTCCTGGCCATCTGTGGAACAGGGAACAGGTCAAAGCCACCAAAAGGAGAGAGGGTTCAGATGTGTGGTCATAAGGTGTATCTCCAAGACCTCTCCCAGATTCTTCAAAGAGCTCGTGTTCTCTGTAGTTTGTAGTGGGGAGGATTATAAGGAAGAGGAACCACAATCCCTCCTGTCCAAATATTTCCAGTCTTGTTCTCATCAAAAGAAAGCAATAGGCAAAGTGTTACAGACCTAGAAAACACCCACCTGAAACACTGAGAGTTTTGTAGGTGTAAATGGAGAAGGTATCTTGTGGTTGGGAAGGGTCTTTGAAAACAGAATGCAGAGTTTCAGGCTGGATTCTTGGAGCTTCATAAAGGCAGAGCATCCTCAATAAGTGGCTCATCTGTCCTGCAGGCATTCTAGAAACACCTGCCTGCAGTTTTTATTTGTTTAGTGGTTAAATGAAATGAGTGATGTGAGGATGTTGGGTGGTGGTATGCCTGCCTCTGGGGTGGAGATTAAATGAGACAATCCTTGTCACAACAGAGTGCCTGGCACACGGACAGCCAGCACTCAGTGGGCAGCACCCTCAACACCTCTCACTCTGAAATGCCGTCCAAACTCTTCTCACAGTTTCCCAGGAATACTCTTCAATTCTGCTCACAATGTGCTGTCCTCCTGTGTAAGACAAGGGAGAGGTCTGGGATCCTCATTTTGAATGCTCTACTGAGTGAGGGTCAGCTTTCACTGACCAGTCCTATCTATTCCATCCTCCATTCACCAGAAACATGTGTTTGTGACAGTCCTTGTTAGATCTGGACTGTAAGAGACAAGCAGCTTGATCTCAGGCACTGCTAATTGGCTGATGTGGGATTGAACCCATGCTCCACGAGCATATGGGAAAAGTCCCTGGGTCCAAATCCTCATGGCCAAAGTAATACAGTCCAGAAACAGAAATATGGTTCTGTGAAATGGAAAAATCCAAATGTGGTGCTGGGAACAAGAGGAAGAAATGATAGAA